TTCTTCTTCCTTCCTTTCTTTTTTTCTTCTCTTTTTTTTTTTCTTTTTTAATGTGCTATTTACTCTAAAGCAAATGCATGCTTCTGTGGCCTTGTACCTAACTAAAACGAAAACAGAATTAAAAACTGAAAATGCAGAAAATATGATAAATACAACACTTAAGCAACGTTAACATGATGATTGTTTTTATATTTTTTTATTCAACATTGCTGGCACTTAATAAATACTTAGTACACACTTACCGTACAAGACTAGAAATCAACGTTCCAAAACGTGCGCCTAGAAATTTATATAAGAGCAGAGTTCTGAGAATACTGAAAACCTTGCAAGTCTTACAACTTACTCATTATGATGCAATAAAATGCTATGTCTACACTAAAATTACAATTTAACTTCTACAGATTTTGCATTAAATTTCTGTGCATATGTGCCGTGCTCAATTAAAGGATTTAACAGCGATGTATTGCTCTAACATCAAAATAATATCGAAACCTGATCAAGGGGAAAATTCACGAAAGTTGGCCTCCTTTCTATAACAGGCTTTGAGATTTGAATAATATTTTCTAATAATAATAATAATAAGATTATGAGCTAAAAAATGTTGCGAAGAGTAAACAAGAAACCTGCAAAAAAATTTTTAAAATTTGTTAGTTCGATTTTCCCTACTGAGTTTGCTGTACCGTTCTTGAAATTCTATCTAGAACCAGGTGTTTGCTTGTGCGCAGTCTATGAATAAGAGTCAAATAGTCTGGAGTTTAAGAGGGCAAAAAAGACAGGTTGAGGAATCAACCGTTATCATTTTATGTAGTAAGCTATTATAGCCTTACAGGGTAGCTAGGATGGATGCCGATATTAAACTTAACTACGGTCGTATCATTAATTTGGTTTCAATCGTATAACTGAAGGTAAAGAGCCTGTTGCAGACGTTGAGATAGTAGAGCGCGGCTTTCAGCTGGTGGGGAACGAGCGAAATCGTACGCGGAGAAAACGAGGGGAAAAGCGAGGGGAGACTGGGAGACCTCTCTAGTCTTCGCTCGTTTGTTTTATGTTTGTGTTTGTTTTTTCGGTCAATTTTTCGCCCGCGCTTTACTGTCTGAACGCCTGGAACAGGCTAGAAGATCAAGAAGTAAATCACCCAGTGGCAAAATTGCTGACATCTCTATACAGTGGTAAAAGAATTTCAGTCTTCTAAGTTGCTCCTCTGCTCTCGACCTACAATGAAATTCGAGTTCCTATGCTATGCTAATGCTTATCCCAGTCCTACCAACCGGGATAAGCATTTTGATGATTTGATCATTGCCAGAAATAGTGGACATTTCGCGCCCGTGATTAATTGTCAGCGGAATCTAATTTCCAAAATGGCGGACAAAAATGATCGTAGTTAGGGAGAGCGTATCCCCTGCGATTTTTTAAATAATTTGAGCTCCGTGGATTTGTTTTACGAAGAAAAAAGCTGGAATGAAACAGCTTGCAAGAAAATGTTAGGTTTATACCCGGCCGAGCGGCTGATAGCAACAAAACAGTACGCGGCTGTACCTTTCGTGACATTTTCGTGACATTTTCGTGACAATTTTGTTTTAATACCTAGCCTGGTAGGCTTATCGAGGACTTTTGAATGCCTGGAACCTAGTTTATATCCCGTGAGGCATCTCTGGAGTTGTAGCAACAACCAAAATGGCGATTCGGTGAGGTTTGGAGTTGTGAAGCTTTGTCCGACCGAAATAAGTCATTCGCAACTATGGCGTCCATTACTGGACTACAGATGGAAAACTGAGGGAAATAATGCGCCTTTGGAAGTATTTTCCAGTGCAAAAATCGTCCTTTTAACGACTGTTTTGGAAACATCTTCCATCGCAGAAGTGATATCGAGTCGTGCAAATTTACTTCTGTGAAGGGTTTATCCTCTAATCGACGAGTATTTCGCATGACTTCGGCAAGATTTTAAGACAATGTATGGAGAAATGGAGCGTACAACGAGAGATAAAAGTGGCCACTTCGGGAAGTAAGTAAACCTACTTCTAATTAGCTATTTTTAACCCAGATGCGAAGGTTGCACAGCACTTAACATGTTTCGAGTCGTGCACCGAACACCCGTGAGCTCATAATCGATATATTTGAAAAAGTTTCCTTTTCTCCATACATTTTCTTATACGAATTCGCAGCCATTGTGGCCTTGGTGCGCACGCGCAACCGCCATCTTGTCCCTAATTTCTGGCAATGAGGCAAGAGCTCTAAAACGTATGCATATCCTTAGAGTGTGTAAAAGAAATGGTTGTAGTGTATCTGATATTGATTACCTCTTTAATAGCCTCATTATGTCAATTTTTACTTGCTGTATCAGAGTTTGGGGTGTTGCTGCTTATACCAAATATCTTAGTCAAATTGATAGGCTATTGAGAAGGACCTTAATCGATTTAGGTATATTCAACATGAATCATCGATTCAACAGGTTATTAAAGACAGGGATGTGAGGTTCTGGAAAAGTATTATGGGTACTTCCTCGAATCCCCTCCAGGATCTTCTAGGTCGCATCCTTACCAGATCCCACGTGTTAATACAGAGAGGTTTAAGAAATGCTTTGTAAATAGACGTCTCTTCGATTCTAAATAGATTGTAATTAACACTTAGACAGTTGTATCTTCATTTATAATGGATCTTGTAAATTTTACCGTTTGTTTAAAACCTTGAATAAAGATATAAAGATATACTAAGTCCGCGGTATGCTTTTAATAAAGGACATAAATCACAATACATTGGTGTTGTTTTAATTTTTCTAGCCTTTGCTTTTTCTGGCATTTACAGCGTCACCGGGAGCTTGGGTGAGATTCTTCATAAACTGCATGATTATCATGATAATAATTATTTGTGTTCCTTTTGGGTGTTAATCAATCCTGGATCGAGACCTGCTTACCTATTACGCTTTGTGCTATTGTTTTAAGACCTATGTTTGCCACCGCAGGGCTTTGGCAAGTCGAATAAAGGGGGCGAATAATAGAACCCAATGTAAATATAAAAGCTGTTGATTTTGTGGTCATGCCCTCCATCGCATATTTTTATTTCAAAAACCTTAGCTTCCATATTTTCATTAATTAACACACGAGCTCATTGCCTAAACAGGAATGTAAACCTGAAGTTCCCTTACACATTTTGTTCATTAGAGGGGTAAGAATAGGCAGATTGAATACATTTCAAAACAAGGGGAGAAGTTATGAAACAGTGATAAAGCTGACGCTCATTAATTATTCATATATCTCTACATGTTTTTTACCCCTCTGATCCACCACCCATATTCAAATTTAATATTTTACAAGGATTCGCGGCAAAGCGATGTTAACGTCTATTACACTGTAAAATTGTTTGCTAATGATGATGATAACTTTATTTACGCCTGAAACTTCTAGTTTAGCACAAGTGGTGAAACTAATCGGGGAGACATAGAGTTTCAAGATTCCCTATGTTTGCTTAAGAGGTTTCAATGAAAAGGAAATGAGATATTAATCTCGGTGGAAATGAAAAGGCATTTGAAGGTACACGTGGTTATGTATTATTCCACTTCTGCACGTCAGGGAGGGCTTCTTCGTTAATTTTTGAGATATCCAACTAATTGACACCTAAGTTTTTATTCAACAGTCGGCAGAATTATAGACTTCTTTACGGTTTATGGTTTCCATCACTGCCGTTTAAAACTCATCACCTTTTCCCGCCAAAATGACACTGGTTCACGCGAGCGCATCGCTTAGTACTTTCGCAGGCGTCCACATTACCTGTTAACAAGCCTGGCAATAGCGGATCTAGTGGTTGGATTACTTGCAGTGCCGTTGTTCATAATTGTAGCTGATCCAGGGCAGAAAATTTTGCCAGGGGTGCTAGATGATTGCGTGGATATGTTCGCCGGCAAATCGTCAATGTTTACTCTGGCCGTTATTTCTCTTGAAAGACTTCACGCTATTGCTCGGCCGCTACGACACAGGCAAGTGACCTTGGGTCATTATACCATTGCTATAGTAACTCCCTGGATTCTTTCATTTATGGTCACATCAACTCAGGTGTTGCTACATTTCTCTGTCTTGACAAAGGAGTTCGTCACCGTTGTTACCATCAGCTTATCAACGCCACTGCTGACAACGTGTTTTGCTTACTGCCTCATTCGGAGAAAGCAGTCCTAAAGTATACATAATAATGAAGTGAGAGCACGAAATGACGCCAGACTATTGAGGACATCAATTATAATAACTCAGGGCAAGAAAAAAAAAGAATGAACACATGATTGCAAATTACAATTCACGTTTAGTCTGCAAGATATAATCAGATGGTAAAAGATGTATATTAACAGGACTATAAAATATTTAAAAAGGCTACAAAAACGAAGTATCGCTGACAATTTAAGACAATTGGTGTTAATAAGACAAGATCGTCTGCTTGTAAATTAAGGTACTTGCTTCTTTACAAGTGATTCTGGAATTTTTTTTTTTTTTACTTTTCCAAAAAAATGGGTCGGTCGGGCGATGGGAAACGAAACATTTTATTGGGATGGCGTAAACAAAAATTTAAGAACATTTTAAGAACATTTTGAGCTGATTTATCATTAAGCACCCGATACACTGTTTTTTTTTTATAAGAATATATTTTATAAGAATATCCAGGCTGAAATTTGCGAAATTTTAAGAATATTTTAAGAATAAAGCCAAGGCTGAGATTTTGAAAAGGATAGGTATAATTTTGTGTTTTGAAACATCTGTTAATACAATACTATTTTATGTTTTTAACGTAACCGTATAAAATTATTCCCTTCTCTGAACGGCGAAACTAGCCAACAAAACGAAAAAACCTGCACTAGCTATAGCAAAATGTTCAACGCTAATGACAGTTCGATGAACGGTACATGTAATACATATACATATACCCCAATAAATTCTAAAACGGAAATGTCATAAGCTATAATTTAAGAATAATACAAGAATATTTTCAGCCTAAAATCGGCAGAAAACTAAGAATATTCAGCCTGGGCCGAAAAAACAACATTCTTATAAAAAAAAAAAAAGAGTGTAAATAAGAACTCAATCAGCCTGACCCCCGAAATCGTGTGTTCTTACATGCGGGTGTTTACTGTAGTTGTTCTTGAACTATGGTGTCTTTATTGAACTACACAAAAAACCTTTGGTGGATTGGTGGATTGGTGATCTGAATTTCGACCCGGTTTGAGTGCTTTGTGATTATAATTATGATTGGCGGCAGCGAAAAACGCAACTGTGAAGGCGGCTTTTGAACCTTAGAGTTCGCATGTTTGTGAAAAGCGCAGTAAAGATGATTTGTTTTCAAAATCTGATCATGAGAAACTTTTTCGCCGACGTCATGATCCGGAGTCACGCAATGAACTATGTAACCGAGGTCAAGCGCGGATGCTAAGCTCACGGCGGGAAAAGCACTCTAAATGATATCATCACTGAAACATCTTGCTGTGCTGATGTTTCTCAAACAATATAAAATTTTTAGAATTAATGTCTTATTTCACTTTCACATTCTTTCTGATGACAAGTGAAACTTTTCAGCTCTGATATTATCTAGGAATCGAGGGATCGTTGTTGTTGTTGGATTGATTCCTGTATTTAGCCCTGGACACTCTCTTTGCTAATTGAAGGAATCGATCCAGCTGAGTCCCAGCTGAATAAGTGCCATATTAAACAAAACTAGCCTTTGAAGTCGTGAAGAACGTTTAATAACAATGACTCAAAAAAAGCATTAATATTTCAAATTACACTCGACGTCTATACATCGTGAGCTGTAGATTCGATCGCGTAAAGAGTTTGGCGACAGGAATGGTCTCTTTTCCATATCCGGATCACATGCTTACTAGGCTACACTTTAGTGATGTTTACATAGACTAACAAGTTTCGTCTCGACCAATCAGAAGTCGGATCGATTCCTGTATTTAGCCGCAAGTGGAATGGTTGAAGACGCCATGTTTGTTTCAGGAAGCATATGGCAAGAGCTTCGCCGCAGAGGCTTATGGGACATTTGCCAAAACTACGAAAAAATAATTATGACTAACAAAAAAATAATTCTCGAATGGAAAAAAATAGATTACCATTATATTATGAGAAACGTACGACAAAATCAATTAATTATCCAAAAAAAAATAATTCTAGCACACAAAAGACTAATCCGCAACCGTAAAATAATTTGTTTAATGGAAAAAAATAATTTCAAAGAAGCAAAATAATAAAGACGGCACAAAAAAAAAATTAATTCCTGGTGATGAAAAAATAATTGTGACGCATGGAAAAGTTAAAACGAACACGAAAATAATTACAGGCATAAGTAAAAATAATAACAAACAGACAAAATATTAATAGCCGGTACTCATCAAATTAATTCATCAAGAGGGGAAAATTAATCATGCAATTTTGACCAAAACAGGCCTTCATAAGTTATTATAACTCCTAGAAAATTACTGTGTTGTCAATAGGTGGTTGACTCAAATTAATTTAGCTAAAGGATGGGCAGTATGAAATTATTGGTACAGGTGATGTTTATAAAATGAAGCGTTTCAATATAATTATCTGGTCACCATGGAAGCGTCATATGACATGAAGAAAACGAGTACTTTCCTTGCGTACCATAAAGTGCTCTCTTTGCGCAACCTTTACGGCAGCTTAACGGAAAGCTTTACTGAGGGTCTGAATGGGGGGGTCCACTTGTCGGTTGTCGGTTAAAATTTAGTTACTTTGTCGGTAGTCGGTTAAAAATTTCGATCTTTGTCGGTTGTCGGTTAATCTCAGTTAATAAGTAAAAATGCATGTTAATTATTAATATTTGTTATGTGTTTCAATCAGTTTCAAGACTTTGATCCCTATAAAACATGTAAAACTTGTAGAAATGCATCATTTGATTGAACTTAAACTTCATTATGCAACATGATAGTGTATTTCACCAAAGCGTTTATTGCAAATGCGAACTTGATTTCCCTGTTGATCACAGGGCACTATAAAAAGTAATGAAGAGAGGTTAATTGGACACAGAGGCAAACGCCCAGTCTGACCTTTTGGGTACGTAAATTATTTTTGGTGAAAAACTGCAAGGAGTGATAGGTTGCACATCTATACCGGCGTGAAAGACCTTAAATATTTTTGCTCTAACAAGCATGTTCTTTGCCATGGTTTTCCTTTCTTTCAGGAAATAAGGGGTGGTTATTTAAAAAATTAGCAAAGTAGCGGTTGGTTTTGTATGAGATTCCACTTTTCCATTAAAG